TCCCCTTGTAGCATAAAATCTGTACATCTTTTCACTCCCATCCCTCTGTCTGTAGGCACCAGGGCTATTTGCAATTTCCTTAATAAATCTCTGCCTAATAGATTAACTGTACAGTCTGGGCTTAACACAAAATCAGCTTCCACTGTAAATCCCTCTTCATCAGTGACCAATTGTTTTTCAGAAATGCGCTGAACCACCCTTCTCCCATCAGCAGAAACTACTGTGATCCATTTTGGTCCCAGTTTAACCTGAGGTAATTTATCCCTCAGGACAGATTTATCAGCTCCGGTGTCACACAAAAATTTCACTCTTACTCCTTGAATGTTTAAATGCCAGTATGGTTTTTCTGATGTGTTTAAAAAAGAAAGGAAAATTTGCTGTAGGTCCAGGACCTCCACTGTGTCCACAATTAAATTTGCTGGTGTACATGGCTCCTGGTGTCAGTGCTGGTCATAATATTGGCGACGGGAAGGGTCACTCTGCGGGGGTCTAGACATTCTCGAGCTAAATGGCCCTCCTTATCACAATTGTAGCACCTATTGTGCTCTCTACGTGGCCCCTTGTTTTCCCCCTGTGACCACCGGCCCCTAACTTCAGCCCAATTATGGCCCAAACTACACTTCATTGCTTTTTCTATGTTTAGCTTGCACAATCCACATATTTAACCCCTCTAATTCTTTTCTGTATGTAGCTTGCATGACTAAAGTAATTTTCTGGCGGGTTATTTATTTTTTATTTTTTGGTCTCGAACCTAATATTGTTGGAGAACATGCAGGCGCATTAGGAAGGCTGTCAGCTGAAGTCAGCGCTGCAGTCGCTGCTCTATTGCCCCCTCCCGCAGATTCAAGCTGTCTCCTTCTACAAGGGGTTTCATTATCTTCTGGANAACTAAATGAAGTGTTTGTAGGCCTAATCTAATTCATGCTCAAAACCCCTATAACTGTAATACAAAAATACTAAAAGACAGAGTGGGTTAAAATAGGTTATTCATATGCACAATAGGTTTAAAATATTTAAACAGTCAGTTAAAAAAATAACATTTTTTTATTATCTATGATATTTGGTCTAAGATTTAGAACTTTTACTTCATTAGTTGCTACTTTCCCCATTTATTATTTTTATTTCTTTTTTGCTAATTAAATATGTTGTTCAAATTAGAAACAAACATTTCCTAGATAAAGATGTCACACCCCACACTGTTTGGTTTTTGGTCTCTGTCACTGCATGTTTTCTTTGCATAAATACATGCAAACAGAGCCCTTAGGGCTGACACATAGCAAACACCTGAGATGATATATTGTCTGTGTGTGGATACGGTGATGATTAAAGGCTGATCCTTTTGCTCCTAACCAAGACAACTTGATGCTAATAATGATGAATTCATGTTATGTTTTCCAGAACAACAATGTCTGACCATCACTTTGTCCTAAAGTTCATTCTAGTTTTTGCAGTAGGACAATGAACTTAAACTCACCTGTACTATAAGTACTACACGGAATGGATGGAATAAAACTAACAAAAAAAAAACAACAACAAAGAAATGAATGAAGAGTTCGTAGTTCTAATCTAAGTCATGCTTAAAAAAACCCTATGACTGTAATACAAAAATACTAACAGATTGGGTTAAAATAGGTTATTCACAAGGGTTTAAAATATTTAAACAGTCAGTTAAAAAATTTACCTTTTTTTTTTTTAAATATCTATGATTATCTATGATATATGATTTTGAACTTTTACTTACTTAGTTGCTACTTTCCCCATCAGTTGTTTAAACATAATGTTCACATTTGAAACTAAATTTTCCCAGATAAGGATGTCAAACCCCACACTTTTTGGTTTTTAATCTCTGACACTGCATGTTTTCTTTGCATAACCAGATGCAAACAGAGCCCTTAGGGCTGGTGCAAAGCAAACACCTGAGCTGATGTTTTCTGTGTGTGTATAGGGTGTTTCTGGAAATTTAAAAGGAAATAAAAGAGCAAATAA